CAGCAGCCCTGCTGGTGTTCTCAGAACTGTCCCTCCCACCTGAGTGGACTGAGCCCCATGTGAGAAATGCTACTAAATGGTGTGAATCTTATAATGGAATTGCCCTTTCTGGATTTGGTGGGATAAGTAAACCAGCATATAATGAGTACATGCTGAAAGCAGAATAACTTGATTACCTGTTTTAGTGATTTCAGCATGAGGATTAAGCTGCAAGAGATTCTTGGGCTAAATCAAATAAGAGGGTAGGAAAAGGGTAATTTTGTTGTGGTGCCAAGACCTGAGACAAATTTGCTTAGTATTTTTTCCATTGATCAGGACTGAGGAGGAACCCAGAAAAGACATTATATCATCTATGCCTGTAAAAAAATCTAGTGCAACAACAGCCAAGCAACATATGCCAAGAAAGAGAAGGTCCAAGCTTTGCTATTCAGTAATGATTTAAAGATATTTTTACTGGATAATGCTGTCTGATTGCTAGAGTGTAATGTTGGAAACCAGAAGACCTGAATTCTGTTCCCAGTTGTTAATATGGCTTGGGAGAAGTTGCTTCTTCCCTCTTCGATTCTTCTTTGATTTCCTGAGAATAATACCCACTCGGAGAGCCTTGGGGCAGATGCCACAGATGCATGTAGAGTTACGTAACTATTTTCAAAGGGCTCTTCCAACTGACAGATTCCTAAGCATGGGATAGTAGCTTCAGTGCTCTGCAGTGTTCTTCCATCTGAATGGTAACAAAACTGTTAGCAGTGCACCAGAGAGAGCAGGGTCATTATGACTGTCTGTATTTGCAAGGGAGCTTCCTGCCTCCATACTCTTAACAACGTTGTTTTTATATGTAGATCATAGGACCACCTGGATCACCAGGTCCACATGGTCCACCAGGCCCTATGGTAAGCTTCTTTTTTCACTTCTCCCAGCTGTAACACTTGCCTAATGAAAGTGATGTGAAGTAATGTGACTATCAGAGATGAGCCCAAATCATGGATTTTGGATCTGGATTGGGATCCTAATCTAGGCTTGCCCAAAATTCTTGGGAAGTAGAGAAACTGTGATTGTGTTTACAAATTGAAGTGCTCAACACTGTAACTGCCAATTTTATTTTATTCCCCCACCAGATGCTTAGAGTTGCTCTTACATTTAATTGTGCCTGCAATTTACTATTTGAGGACAAAAATGCAGGTGTAAATTTTACCTAGAAGAAGCAACCGACCCTTCTGCACATGTACACTTTACTTTCTTCATTAAAAGATGGAATCTTTATTTTCAGGGACCCCATGGACTGCCTGGCCCAAAGGTAAATTAATAGTTTGCTTGTATTCTTTACCTCTGTAATTTTTCATGCTGTGTTCCTTGTTAATAGCAATGAAGCATGCAACCATGTTTTTGTTTTATGTCTCGTTTATTTGTTAAATATTTCTGATATTTTTAAACCTTAAAGCTGATGTTTAAGAAGAATCAAAGTGTATTTCTAAAAGTGAGTGCTATACAGCCATTTACTATTTGTGTTTCATCTAAGCATACACTCAGTTTTTATACTGATAAATATATCTAGTGTCCTATTTGTGGGTGAGAGCTTCATGCTACTCCAATTATATAGTTGCATTTACCTTACATTACACTTTAGAACACAAAGGATGAGTGTGTTGTACACTGAGGAAGTGAAG